AGGTGCAACACATTTTTTGCCAAAAGTTTTGAAGTTGTAATGAAGGATAGCTCTAAATTTATTTATTTCTTTGTCTCTCTCTCTATATATATTTTATTTCTCTTTCTACATATATTTATAATTTACTAACCAGCGGGTGAAAACAATGAAGGAGCCTGTGATTAAACAGTAAAGGAGCAGCAACTGACAAGGGCATCCTCCTATTAATTTATGTACCTTTGTATATATTTTGTTATACATTAGTTGTGTTGCTATTGTTATTTTTTATATATATATTTTACATTTTCCATACATATGACTAAGTAGACCCATAGCTGAAAAGTAAAGTAAACAATAGAATTTGTTCTGCCCCATAGGGAATATGAAAGTGCTGGAGCTCTAGTGGCTGATTTGTTTTATTTAATGAACACATAACTGGATTAAATGGGATTTATGTGATATAAGCTGCATCTGGAAGATGGGAGTAAATGTTTGTATGATTGCCACGTTGCTTTGTTTTGTTCTAGAAAAGTTATGGTTTAGGGATAGGAGCCAATCGTTTTAGAGTGTGGGAGACAGTCAGAGGAACTATTTAGTTGGTGACAGGGGTTTAATTTATGGAGTCTTTAAAAATTCTTTTTAGTTCAGGTTGGAGAGTTTTCCCATTGCCTGTGAACTTTTCAGCTGGCATATGTGAGCAGTAGAGATTGAACAGATTGGACAGTTTTCACTCCATAACTTTTTATTTAAGATGCAAGAAGATGAAGATCCTTCAGAAGATATCTTTTATAGCTGTTTGAACCACACACAGTCATGCGGTCACATAGTTACACCAGAAGATTTTTTTCAGACAACCCTTGCACTGTATAAATACCTTTAGAAGGAATTGTGTATATAAATTCATAATTGCAATCACATAAATTAGCTATAAATTAAAAACAAGCAAAAGATTGTGCCAGCATAGTGTAGCAAGTCTCCTTTATTATAAAACAAAATGAAATCCACTCACAGGTGGGAGCCTTCCAAAAGGTATATATCAGAGGGGAAGATCAGGTAATGAACATTCAAATATTTACATATTTTTAATAAGTAAATACGTTTTAAACCAAGCCCTCTCTGACCTCTGTAGCTGCAGACACCATCGAGCAATTCATCCTCAAAGATCACAAGAGAAGCACTGTAGTTGTTCAAAGAAGGTCTCAGCACAGTGCTCTCTCCTCTTCCTCTGTTCCTGTTCTGTATTTATTAGAAGGCTGATAGGCTACTGTCTTACTGCAGGGAGGGGGAAGCAGGGTCAGCTGAGCTGCCCAAGCACAACTGCAAGTACCTTGTGCTGTAAACTTTGAGCATGAAATACTCCACATTACCACCACCTACAGAGGTCAGTGTTCACAGTTTATTTGCTGCTTGTTAGGAATATGTCCAAAGCCTGTCCACAGTTTTACACCATCAGCACAGAGTCACTTGTATACAGTACCATTTCTGTAAAAGAAGAGTGAATATGCTTTCCTTTCTGGCAGCCTGAGTGTTGAAGCCCAATTGCTTTGCTGCTTCCCGACCATTGTGTGGAATTCCTGCTAATCCTCCACACACTGTGGTTCTTCCTGCAAGCTGGTAGTAAAAACCATTGGGGAAAACCACAGTGTGCAAGGGTGGAATAAGTATTTGTCCCACCCAGAAGTGTCAATTACATTTATTGGCTAGGGAGCAGCGACTTTGGAAGCATGGGCTGTTAGAAAGGTAAGATTATTGCTTCTCCTTTTACAGGTATGGTGTTGTACAAGTGACAGCTACACTCCAAGCCAGTAGCCAGATATACAGTTGAAGTACAAACATAGGGAACTGAGCAAAAATTGTAAAAGCCTAAAGATTTTTTAGTGCTGTGTAGCGGGTTTTGTGATCTAGGCTTGCCTGCCAGGCAGCAGAGCCTCAACCTCTATGGACACACCCCTAGCCTTCTAACAGGTAGTAAAGGAGCAGCTGCACACCGATGAGGTCTTCCCTCTGCATGTCTTTTGGTAGCATGCTCAATGGAGCAGAGCCTGATCGGTTCCAAGATCTGGTATTGCTTCTGTACTACTGAGTACTACTGTAAAAGGCATGCCAGGAGCCAGATATAAATACATATTTAGGTATTTGCATTGCATTTAAAACAAATGTTATGAGTTTTCATGTATACATAACTATATTATTTTGTGTCTTTTCTATCTTCCAGTAGTTCAGCCTTAGTATTGTTTAATCGCTTATAAATATCAAGTTATTTTATTTGGATGTGTTTTGGGGAATATCATGAAAGAAACCGGAAGTGGGGGAAGAGTTAACATTCTTTGGCCACTGCAAGAAGCTCTTGTCTCTATGGGGTCTATTCACGAAGCTGCCGAGTGAATGACCAATCTGAAGTGAAGTGAGCCGAACACTGTTCGGCTATTCACTTCAGGCTGGTAGGCTAATTTCAGCCGTACATCGGCTGAAATCAGCCGTACATCGGCTTGCTTCGGGTCGGCCGAACATGTTCAGCATGTTCGAGAGCCGCGCGGCCATGATCGGGAGCTGTACGGGCTATTGTGAATAGCCCGTACAGCACCCCTTCGGTTCTACTGAACCGAAGTGGTCCTGGGGCCGAAGCTAGCCGAAGGATCGGCCGAAGCTACGGCCAGATCTTTCGGCAGCTTCGTGAATAGACCCCTATGTCTTGTTGCTTTCAGTAGAGCTGGTTTTGTGATCTAGCATACAGTGATATCTTGCAGCTGGAGAAAGCAGAAGCATTGATATCTCCCTGCTGGACCTCACTGTCCCAAGTTATCATCAATGCAAAAGCAGAGCCTGCCTGTGGTCTGCTTTGAAAGTAATGAATGTTCCACACCAAAGCAAACTTTGAACTATCTTACTGCAGAAAGTTTGCTGTGATTTCATTTAAAGGAATAGCAGCAGGTGAAATGAACAGGCTTCATGTTGAAAATGAAAATCTCAAAGCCGATTGATTATTATAATTAACATAATGACTGTAAAAATATAAGGTGACTGTAGTGATTTGCTCTTTTCAATGTGCTTTAATAGTATTCAGAGATAAATGTGTGATGTGTTTGCTCATGCAAAAATGATTTTTGTTACACATTTTGTTATAGTTTGTACCAACAGTATGTAAGACAATAAATACGCTAATAATTTATTATCAGCCTTGATTTAAAGAAGAATTCCAGGCAAAACTTTTATTAACCCTTGCAATGGGGCTACCCCTGCACTGCAAGAGTTAACTGCTCGTTTTGGTCTAGGTGCTTAAAAAAAAAGTTATGTTCACCTGAACCGCGAAGCCGGCCTGCTCTTAGACCGGTCCCTGTAGCCTCTCTCTCCCCCCTCCTCTGCAGTGGTCTAATGTCCTGTAAATCAGCATGTTCTATAAATAGTGAGTGGAATTTATCAAAATTGGAGCAAACAGAATCTGGAGCAGTTGCCCATGGCAACCAATCAGATTATCTCTTTGGTTCAGTTAGGCTTTGACAATGAAAAAGGTGCTGATTAGTTGCCATGATCAACTGCCCAGATTCTCTTTGCTCCAGTTTTGATAAATTCCCCCCAGTGTATAGAAGTGAGGATGGTGAGGAACATTCCAATGCTGCAGTATAGGAAATGGGGCTTCAAAGACCAGAGAAGCAGGGAGTCGGCTCAGTAGTTTGGGTGAGTATCACTTCTTTTTAGCACCTAGACAAAATAAGCAGTTGACCCTTGCAGTTTGGGGGTAGCCCCACTGCAAGTGTTAATACAGGTTTTTCCCAGCATGCTTTACCTGGGTGGCTTTTCTAGGTCAAGTGTCCTCATTACTTTGCCAATGTCATAGCTTTGCTTACTCTTCTCTGCTGGATTACAAAACACTTCTCCACTCTGCTCATCTCTATAACAAAAG